CAGTACCTTACTTCTGGCTCGGAGACCAGGCCCGTCGTGGGCTTCTACGTCAACGTCATAGAATCCCGAGTCCTCATAATCCAGCTCCCCCAACATTGTTATGTCCCCACTCAGAGAATTCAACTGGAAGAGCTGGGATATTTTGTCTCTTACGTTCCGGAAAGAATACGTCACTTCTCCGTTGGCTCCTTCATCTGGGTCAGTAGCTTTTATGGTAAGTAGCCGGGTGCCTACGGGCAAATTCTCCTTCACACTAACGTGGTACTCTGGCTGAGTGAACACAGGAGCATTGTCATTGGTGTCCACCAGTGTTATCTGAATTGTGGCAGTACCAGAGCGAACCGGGTCGCCTCCATCGAAGGCGGTTAGAACCAGGTGATGAACTGCTTCTTCCTCGCGATCTAAGGCGTTCTCCAGCACCAGCTCCGGGTACTTAATCCCATCCGCCCCACTTTGCACGTCCAGGGAGAAGTGACCATTAGAGCTGAGCTGGTAACCCTGCAAGGCGTTCACCCCTATATCCGGATCAAAAGCTTCAGGAAGAGGAAATCTTGTCCCAAGAATTTCATTTTCAGCGACTTTTATTTCCCTCTGCTGCGCTCCAAAGCTGGGGGCATTATCATTAACATCGATAATTTCCACCTCTACAGCAAGAATCCTCACTTTATCCTCTAGGAGAATCTCCAGATTTGCGGTACACTTTGGGGATTTGTCACAGAGCCCTTCCCTGTCGATCCTCTCTGCTGTCACCAAGCTGCCGCTTCGCGGGTTCAGAGCAAAGAGCTGGGTCTTACCTCTGGAGACGATGCGGACTCCGCGTTCTGTCAGCTTCCCGGGCTCCAGCCCCAGGTCCTTGGCTAGGTTGCCCACGACAGAGCCCCTTTCCAGCTCCTCTGGCACAGAGTACCGGATCTGTTCCGCGCGGATGTCGCATAGGGATCCAAGGAAAATGCAGATCCAGATTAGTCCCCTGCGGTCTGCTCCGTAAGGAGCCGCCATTGCAGTCCAGCCGCACAGAGCCCTGAGCTTGGGCGTTGAGCCTGTCTGTGCAGGCCTGAGGAGCCCCACAATCTTTGGGTTTCAAGATAAGGTACTTGTACCTTTGGACGCTGGCGCTCCGGGGAGTCCAGATTGATGCTTTCCTTAAGACCAAAACCAGTCCTTTGTGCTCCGGAAACCTTGCTCTTATTTAAAATACCTGATTTTCACCCCTGAGTGGTGAACAGCGACACCCAGAGTACTAAACTGTTATTGCAACTAATTCTTGATAAAAACATCACATACTGTTTCCTTTCCTAATCTTCCTTTTCTAAAGGAGCACAAAGGTCAAAATCAAGTTGTTTAATTTGCAACAAAAATCCAGGAATTATCCAAAGCTTATGTGTCAAACTAAGTTAATTTATTATAGAATAATATAGTGATTTTGGGGAAAGGATTGTTTTCTACCTCTTTTTAGTTGTTGCATTGTTCATTTCCCTACATCATTTTCCATACTTTGTATTGTATGAGGGTCACATCCGTTCCTCCAGGGGTGGATGTGACAAGCGGAGGGACAGTGGAGCCTGGAGGTCCAGCTCTAGCTACAACCTATGCAGAAACCAATTTCCTCACATGAGTTCACCCTCTGGATTCTGGGATAAGTTTCCAATTCCACTGCAAGAAAGGTGTTGGCTGCTCAGGAGATAATCTTCCCCTTGTGCAAATGGGTTTAGCAGAGAGATTCTAGGTGTGGGATAAAATAGCTAATGTGTACAGGACATTCTAGGCCACACACTGTATCACCAATGTCATATTCACAGTGTGCCCTCAATCTTTACAACAACCTTCATAGGCTGAAACATTTGCAATATTTAATGAGTCAATTACCAATACAAATCAAGCTCAAATAATGGGCAAACAAATATTAAAATAAATGATAGCACCAAAGCAGAAAAGTTAAGCTGAAGATATTTCAGGCCAAGTGCGGTGGCGCACACCTTTGATCTCAGCACTTGGGAAGCAGAGGCAGGTGGTTCTCTGTGAGTTTAAGGCCAGCCTAATCTATGTAGTGAGTTCCAAGATAGCCAGAGCTTTGTAAAGAGACTCTGTCTCACCCTTGCAAAAGATATTTTAGGTTTTTTTCTCATATAAGACACATCCAGTGGTGCCATTTTACCATCATCAAGTCTATTATTTTTTAACCACTGTTTTAAATTGCTTTACCACTGATTTCAGAAATAGTCAATGAAAGGAACTATTTTAATAGTTGTGGATACATCACTATCATCACATATTTCACACCTTTCTTGGGAAATCTGAGAAATTTTGAGACAAATCAAAAAGTCATCACTACTTAAACTATTTATTGTTCTACAATTAGCACGTGCAAACAACCAAACTTTTAAGGAGTCATAAAATCCTATTTGTGGGGACCCACAGAGATTCCAGCTTGTGGCTTGTTTTCATCTTGACTCGAGGTCAGAGAGTCCGAGCTTGTTTTCCCCTGCAAGGTGGCATGATAGGATGTTTTGGCCAAAGGTGTGGTTACCAGGTATCTTATATCTCAAGGCCTATTTACAGGATGCTTTGCCATAAGGCGTGGTCACCAGATGTCTTGAGTACTAAGGAGGTGCTTACACTTAACTGTACTTTGTACCTTGAACCCTGATGTCCTTGAAAGGAGGAGATCTTTTTGCCCTCCTTGCTTTTGGGTATAAAAAGGCTGTGAGTAATAAACCCAGGGTCTGTGGTATTGACTCAAGAGCCCTCCTGAAGCTATCTTGTGTCTTTGTCTTTTTCTTCACCCATGTCTATATTTCATAGCTATTATTTCCCAGTTCCACACTTCCCACTTCAGAATTGTTCAACAGGTTGAATGGGACTCGATACCTATTAATTATGCAGAATTAAAAATCCTTAGTCTTTGAAAGAGTAGGTTAAATTTTTTTGTTGTTTTTGCAATCCTTAACAGATTTATTAAGTGCTCAGGACTTGGAGATTAAAATGATGTCTTGGGCTGGGTGGTGGTGGTGGTGGTGGTGGTGGTGGTGCACACCTTTAATCCCAGCACTCGGGAGGCAGAGGCAGGAGGATCTCTGTGAGTTTGAGGCCAACCTGGGCTACAGAGCAAGTTCCAGGAAAGGCTCCAAAACTACACAGAGAAACCCTGTCTCAAAAACAAAACGAAACAAAACAAAAATGTTGTCTTGGAAAGAACAGAAAATATGCATAAAAATGTCAAAATGTTTGCAGATTCGACTCACAGGAATTATATTGAAATAACAGGAAAGATAAGATGTTTCATAAATAGATCATCACAGTCCTTACTACAGTGGTGACAGAGTAGAACAAGCATAAAATAAATGACTAGACAATAGTCAAAAGATCCGTGGAGGGGTCCACACGATGGTTCAGGTGGTAAAAGCTCTTGCAGGCAAGTCCGACAATCTGATGAGTTTGATCCTGGGGTTCCATGGGTGAAAGGAACAAACTGACCCCCATATTGTCCTTTAAGCTCCACATGCTTGCCATGGCACACGTGTGCCTCACTCCCCACAAGTAAGTGTTAAAAAGAGAAACTTGGGTGAGATTTTAAGTGAGAATAATATTGGCCCAAAGTTAGTGATTCAAATACAAAATCGTGGTACTCTTTGGTACTCGTGGTAAGACAATAAGGGCTAACAGACTTACTTACAGATGTGTTGAAATGAAAAGTTGTTCAAGTGAGAAAAGGTAATTGGTGAAGATGACCATAAACTTTAATTTAGGCAGAAAGAAATAACAATATGCTTATGAAAAGTTAAAGATTATTTTAAAAAAAAGCAGCCTCACAAATCAAGTAAGAAAGGGAACTAATGTTATTAAGGATGTTGACCTATAGGAAACAGTCTGCAGCAAGATTTGCTAGTTACGCAGAAACAACCAATAGTAAGGACTGGAACTGGTAATCAGGTCATTTCCAAGATGACCGGGCAACCAAGAACTAATCTTTATGTATCCACAACACTTCTCTCAGTAAATAGCCCCCAAACTATGAAAAAAGACCCAAACTGATTAATTTGTGCACAACCAAGAAGCAAATACAAGAAATAATATTTAAGTAGCTCGGCAGAAACTTACCTGAAGAGAAGAAGAGTCGTACGAGATTTTAGGATCTTCATTATTGCCACATACAGCCACAGAAGGATCATCACACAGGAGATCCTGAGGGGGAGCAACCTCTGGTGCCACGTGGAGAAAATTAAACCCTGCTGTAGTCGTAGAATGCGAGGCAACACATAGATTATAAGAATAGGGCAATGTCCCCTCGCTGCAGTTGGGAGGAACCACAGCTTGAGACTTCCAGCTCAGACCAGGCTGAAAGCAGCCCCAGGTAGCTGAGCTGGAGGAGTGGCGCAGGCGCAGGGCTATAGCCAGAATCACCGCCAGAAGGAAGAGTACTGAGATCAGGGCCAAGGCCACCACCAGGTAAAACTGAAGCTCACTCTGGGGGTCTGATGGCAGAGGGTCATCGCTGAGGTCTGGTAGGACCTCCTGCAGGCTGTCAGCAAAGATCAGGTGCAGCGTGGCTGTAGCCGAGAGCGGTGGCTGTCCACCGTCGCGTACAGCGACCAGAAGTCGCTGCCGCGCTGCGTCCTTGTCGCCCAAGGCACGCGCTGTGCGCACCTCGCCAGTGCGCAGCCCCAGGCTGAAGAGCCCGGGATCGCTGGCCTGCAGCACGTGGTATGACAGCCAGGCGTTGTGTCCCGAGTCTGCGTCCACAGCCACCACCTTAGTGACCAGGTATCCGGGTTCGGCGGAGCGCGGTACCATGTCGAAGAGCGCGGAACCGTCGGGCTCGAGCGCGGGGTACAGCACGCGCGGCGCGTTGTCGTTGCGGTCGCCCACCAGCACGCGCATGCTCACGTTGGCGCTGAGCGTGGGCGAGCCCTGGTCGCGCGCCTGCAGAGTCAGCTGGAAGGAGCGCAGCTGCTCGTGGTCGAAGGCGCGCTGAGCGAACACCACTCCGCTGTGTTGGTTCACGGTCACGTAGGATGATAGTGCTTTTGGTTCTAGGTCGCTGGCTATGATGGAGTAGGAGATGTGACCATTGGATCCCAAATCGGGATCAGAGGCGCTGACTTGAGCGATGGAGGCTCCAGGTGGGTTGTTCTCAGCCACGTGGACCAGGTAGGAGGCCTGGTGGAAAACCGGTGCATTGTCGTTGACGTCTGAGATGTGCACAGTCACACGTGTCTTGGATGAAAGGGATGGCTTGCCACTGTCGGTAGCTGTGATAGTGATGTTGTACTCTGAGGTCTGTTCCCGGTTTAGGGCCTTGTCTATCACCAGCTTGTAATAATTCTTGGAGGTGGGTTGTAATTTGAAGGGAAGTTCTTCCTGAATACGGCATGCCACCAGACCATTTTGTCCAGAATCCTTGTCTCGAACTTTAATGAGGGCTATTACTGTTCCAAGGGCTGAGTCCTCCGGAACTTGGTTAGAAAAGGACACGAATGTCACCTCTGGGGCGTTGTCATTCTCATCAAGAATTTCAATCTCAACATTACAGTGAGCTGTGTGCACCCCTCCGTCCCTGGCTTCTACACCCAACATGTATCTGCTCTTTTCTTCAAAATCCAGTGTCCCGTTAGTTGTGATAGCTCCAGTATTTGGATTGAGACTGAAGATGAGGTTAGTACTTGCCGGGCCATTAAGGAAGGCATAGGTGATCTCTCCATTAACACCCTCATCCTGATCTGTGGCTCTCACTTGCAGCACGAAGGTTCCCCGGGGCATGTTTTCACGGAGGCTAGCTTTGTAAATGTCCTGGCTGAACACTGGAGCATTATCATTGGCGTCGGTGACTTTGATCCAGATCTGGGTGGTACTGCTTAGGGGTGGGTCTCCGCCATCGATGGCGGTCAGGATTAAGTGATGGGAGCTCTGATGCTCCCTGTCTAGAAGTTTTTCCAGCAGTAATTCTGGGTATTTACTTCCATCCGGACTTTCCTTCGTTGACAAGGAGAAGTGTGGATTGGGGCTGATAGTGTACATCTTCAGTGAGTTGCTTCCCACATCTGCATCTCGTGCAGAGTCCAGAGGGAATTTTACTCCTGGTAAGGCAGACTCACAGATCTCCAATTCAATGCTTTTCCCAAAGAAATGTGGTGCATTATCATTAATATCTTGGATGGCAACAATTACGTGGAAAATATTCATCGGGTTTTCAGTAACCGATTCAAATTCTAGTGCACACTCAGGTTTCTTCCCGCAAATCTTCTCTCTGTCTATCCTGCCACTCACCAACAAATCCCCACCCTCTGCACTAACGCTGAAATAATCCTCTGCACTAACTCTCAGGTTTCGAGCTGGCAGTTCCTGGACACTGAGCCCCAGATCCTGGGCGAGGTTCCCCACCAGAGAGCCCTTGGCCAGCTCCTCCGGAATGGAGTAGAGGATAGGCTGGGAGATGGCGCCCCAGAACAAAGGCATCAGAAAGTGAAGCAGTACCTGATTTGCCATCGTTTCAACGCCTCTGGGGTTGCTCTGCCTTTCTGAGCTCGCAGGGAAGCTTCTTTTCGAGGTTTTTAAGAAGACAGTCTGTGCCCTAGATGTTTGTGATTTTAAGGCAGGATTTGTCAGGCGCTTCAAGGGTGCACGGGAGCCGGACGTACGTTCTCATAGGTGCAGAAAAAGCAGGCAAAGCCCCAGCTGGACCCTGCGGAACAGGGAACCCTTCTCTTCTCTTTGGTCAACAGCGGCGCCTAGAGGTTGTCTTGTAAAACTGCGTATCGTGCAGCTATGTGTCCCCAGAGCTCTTGTTTGGACTTTTAATTTGCTTGAAGGAACCAGGTATCCACATTTTCCTTTAGTTTTGTTATTTTCTTGTTTATTATCATTTCATGAATGTTTCATCGTTATTTATTCATATTTTCCACTTCACAAGACGTACTTTTTTCCTTTTTCCAGTTTTGGAGAAAAATGCTACCAATGACTTTACTGTATGGCACTACTAAACTCAGGCCTGACTGTTGTATCCAATAAGTGAGTGCATTTTTACCCTCATTAATCAGTGGGCTCTGATCTTTACATTTCTGCAAGTTTACTGAAGTAACTTCTTTATTTGGTATTTTAATTTCTCTGTGTATTTTATCAATTCAGCAAAACTTTTCAGAGATAGTCTTTGCAAAAGAGAGGAGTGGTGTCGCCAGAGATTTTTTAATGCACTGATAGTCTTTGCAAAGCATACTATTTTCAGTTAAGTACACGGAGCCTGATAGACTATTAAAGGTACCAACGTAGTGTTTGGGGCTTTTATAATGGTGAATCTTGTGTAAGCCACGTTTATTTTTATGAAACAAATTCTTTCTAAATATGCAATACTCTATAGACTGAATTCTTACCTTCAACCAGTTTAATACCATTAATCAATAACGTTATTGACTGCCAGTGACTCTTGGTGAGACAATGACAGTCTTTAAGCAGTTGATGTTATTATTTACACTTTATTATATTTATTTATTTTGTGTTTAGGTGTATGTGTATACACATGTGCACTCATGTGGAGGTCAGAGGACAATATACTGGAGTTGGTTTTCTCCTTCCATCATGTAGGTACCAGGGATGGAACTCAGGTTGTCTGGGTTGGAAGCATGAAGTCTTACTCTTCCTAAGCACTCAGTTTTAGAACTTGATCCTGTATTTGGGTAACTCAAATAAGCAAATCCCTTTATTTCTAATGTACCAACAAATCAGATGACAATGTCTTAAATGCCCCTCTTAAATTTCACGTGTTAGAACCCCAATCTCCCAATCCATGGTATAAAGGTGTCTGGAGGCAGAATCTTTAGGAAATGCTTGAGACAGGAGAGCTTTGCCTTTATTGGTGAATCAATGATTGGTTACTGGATTATCATAAAAGTGGCTTTTTTTTTTTTGTAAAAATAGCAGTCTCTGAGACACTTGCTTTGTTTTGTCATGTGATGTCCCTGATATGTGATTTCCCTGACATGTGATGACCCTGAAAGAAAAATCTCCAAGTGGATGCCGAGCAGATGAGAATGCCATGTTCTTGGAGTTCTTAGCTCCCAACAACCAGATTAATAAATCTTTATTTTAAAGATAAATTTCCAAGTCTCAAGTATTTTCTTACAGCAGCAAAAATTAATGGAAAGGTATCAGCTCACTGATTTATTTTACTGTTTTGAAGAGCTCAACCATCTCCAGTAGAAATGCAACATTATATTTCTCATAAGAGTTTTTTCTTCTTCTTTTCTCTACTTCCTGCCTTTATATTCCTCTCCACAAGATTCCATCATATATATGGATATTGAATGAAATATAGTTTTATATGCTTACAGATACTGTCTTCAGTCTCTGTTGACTCACACATTTCTTTCTTTCTTTTTTTTTTTTAAGATTTATTTATTTATTATGTATACAGCATGTATGACTGCAGGTCAGAAGAGGGCACCAGATCTCATTACAGATGGTTATGAGCCTCCATGTGGTTGCTGGGAATTGAACTCAGGGCCTCTGGAAGAACAGTCAGTGCTCTTAACCTCTGAGCCATCTCTCCAGCCCAACTCACACATTTCAATGTTATATTTTCTAACATATTAGGGGAAAATTTGTTCCTTTGAGATGCAATAAAATACATTTTGTTTCATTTTTGGATAACCCTCTTTTGTAGCTACAGGAGTAAAATAATTTCATAGATTTGAGAATGGATCCACAACTTTGATCAGAGAAAGTTCCAGAACACACTCAGGATTCCCATTTCACTGTTGTAATGGGTGGTCTCGGGGATCTCTTGCAGAAACAGAGCAATATTTTCCTGCTAGTTTGAAATAATATTTTTGTGTTGGCATATATTCATTGTATGTGAAACTGGGTTTTACAGGTCACTTTTATACAAACATATATTGTACACTGGGCATATGCGCCTGTACCCCACCCCATAGCCTCCTTTTTCTCTCCACTTCCCTCCTGCTAGTCCACTTTTCCTAGCAGTTTCACTTTTACTTTTACTCCATACACACACACACACACACACACACACACACACACACACACACACCATTTTATGTATCTCTATAAAACTTAGGATCCACAAATGAGAGAAGACATGGTATTTGTCATTCTGAGATTGACTTAATTTTCTTAATATTAATTAATGAAACTTAATTATCTACAGTTGGATTCAATTTCCTGCAAATAACAAAGCTTCATTTTTCTTTATGGCTGAAATTCCACTGTGTATACATATATATCACATTTTCTTTATTCATTACTCTATTGATGGACATCTAGGTTACTTAGTCATTGTGAACAATTCTGCAATTAACATTGATGTGCAAGTATCTCTGTGATATGTTGACTTAAAATCCTTTGGATAAATATCCAAAAGTAATACAGCTACATCCCAGGCTTAAAAAAAAAAATTTTAAAGGGTGATAAATGCCTGCTCATGACTCATAATGGTTTAAGTGAATGAGCTTTCCACCTTTAGACACAAAGATGAAATCAACACAAACAGAAACATATACATTTTAGGCACAAGGGTTTAATCATCTGACTAATCTCTGCTTTTCCTGTTGAGACAGCTTTTGCTAAGTTGCCCAGGTTGGTCTTGAACTCAAGGCTTGAGTGATCCCACCTCCATAGTTTCCAGGTAGCTGCAACTACAAGCATACTGCTATATCAGTTTCCTTCGTTTCTTATTCTATGATTTTATGTTCTTGAGATGTAAAGACTGGCCAGGTGGTGGTAGCACACGCCTTCAATCTCAGCACTGGGGAGGCAGAGTAGGAGGATTTCTGTGAGTTCAAGCCCAGCCTGGTCTACAAAGTGAGTTCCAGGACAGCCAGAGCTATTACATAGAGAAATCCTATCTTGAAAAACAAAACAAAACAAAACAAGCAAATAATGTAAAGACTGGTGTGACTTGGGAAGGTTCAGAAAAGATTTTCTGAGAGCATAAAACACTTTGTATGTATCCTTTCCCGCCATTTGTATGTGTCCTTTCCCGCCACTCGTTTGTGTCAGTCCGGGCAGGACAGTGGGCAGGAGTGACAAAGTTCAAACCACTGGGGTTCATAGTGTGAGAGGGCAGGCTGAGGTACAGCTCAGGAGTCCAGCAGATGATCAACATGTGCCA